GTGTGGGCAATCTGAGTTTACAACATCACCAGACCAGGTGGGCCACTGGAGTGGTCGTCTAGAAAAGGAAATATTTCAAGATTTGGGAAACAGCAAAAGTGCCTGCAGTTTATTTAATGTCCAAATGCCTCAGGAAACTCAGAGAAAGAGGGGTGGAGAGCGGGTGTCACAACGAAACTTACAGTCGCTGATACCCCGCATTAGTCATAGCTAAAGCAGCTCTCCCTTCTCACACACACACACCCAGAAATAGTGCCCAAGTATTTTGTGAGGGAACAAATTCTGCCTTGATTATCTCTCAGAATGAGTGCTTTTACCTGTTTGCTGCCGTGGGCTTAAAGGCAGAAGCAGAGATAACTTGAGGTCATTCACAAGCACAATAAAATTGACAGAGTTCTTTCCATGCCAGCAGACAAAAAGGGAATCAAGTCTGTGGGATGAAACCAGGAGAAAATTAATTGCCTTCAGAAATAATACCTGTTCTGGGAAAAGTTTATTTTTGGATTAAATTTCCCAGAATCCTTTGGCCACCCTGGCAGGTGCTATGCTGGATAGAGGATTCTGGGACATGTAGTCCAAAGAGATGCATTTTGTTCCTCCACATGATAAAACGAACAAAGGAAAAGTGCAGGATGGAATAATGAGGCTGAAAGCATGAGGTGAAGTTAGATGGAAAAGGTAAGGTCACACAGGAAGCAAAGATACTTGTGATTCACCTGAAGGAAATCAGGGGTTGATGCTCCTTCGTTTCCAGCCCTTCCCTCCAGGTAAAGCTCACTCGGGTCGTGAACGCAGTTACTATGAGGCTGAAAGCATGAGGTGAAGTTAGATGGAAGGGAAAAGGTCACACAGGAAGCAAAGATACTTGTGATTCACCTGAAGGAAATCAGGGGTTGATGCTCCTTCGTTTCCAGCCCTTCCCTCCAGGTAAAGCTCACTCGGGTCGTGAACGCACCGCAGTTACTGAGGAAGAAAAAGACACACAAGGACCTTCTTCTGAGGGGGAAGGATTTGGAGGAGTCAGAAAAAGAAGGGGGCAGAAGAGTGATGCAGTATTGAGGAGATCCAGGGAAATCCAGATGGCCACCAGAGAAGGGCTTTGGGCTTTTTTTTTTTTAATTAAAAGTACTAACAATGTATCCAGCGCTCGGAAGAGTTATGGACGTTTCCAAAGATCCCTTTTCCGATTGGCGCCTCCGGAGCAAGAAAAAGAAGAGCTTTGGGGGTGGAAGGAGCACTTCCGGTAAAAACGGCTTCCCCTTCCTCTCCATATATTTTTTTTCTCCCTCTCTAGGAATTCCAGACTCTGTTGCTCTTAACCCCTTCAGAGCCAAATTCTAAGATCTTTCCTGTGTTTCGCCCGCAGGAGGCCAAAGGAAAAGATTCCTGGCTTGCAATTATAATTATTTTTTTCCTGGTTTCTACCACTGTAAATAAACTCCTTTTATTTCCGCCTTTGGAATTTACAGGGCATTACTGGAAACAACTATCCTTAAAAATTTTCCCTTGGAATTTATACAGCATTTTCGTGAATTAAAAACACATTCTCTGTGGGGGTTTTTTTTCCCCCTAACGTGATCATATTACTCAACCAAGAAGTTGAAGTCTTTGACTAAATCCTTCCTGGCAAGAGATTCAAAATGCCTGAGGAAGAGGAGGCACTGAAATTCGAGGTGGAGGGCTTGGAAAAGCCCACAGTGCTGTTTTTTTTATGGATCTACTCAAATGTAAGCCCCTTCAAGATGAATGGACTTTATAGGTAAAGGTTCCCCTTGACAATTTTTGTCCAGTCGTGTTCGACTCTAGCGGGCGGTGCTCATCCCCGTTTCCAAGCCATAGAGCCAGCGTTTGTCCGAAGACAATCTTCCGTGGTCACATGGCCAGTGCGACTTAATCACGGAACGCTGTTACCTTCCCACCGAGGTGGTCCCTATTGATCTACTTGCATTTGCATGCTTTCGAACCGCTAGGTTGGCGGGAGCTGGGACAAGCGACGGGAGCTTCCTCCGTTGCGTGGATTCGATCTTACGACTGCTGGTCTTCTGACCCTGCAGCACAGGCTTCTGCGGTTTAGCCCGCAGTGCCACCACGTCCCTTTACTTCCAGGCAAATGGATCTAGTAGGACAGCACACGCTCTTAAGAGGGACGGAAAAACTCAGCTCTCCCTCTGCTCGGAATGAAAACAAGGTTCTGGATGTGAAAAAAATATTCTCCTTGGGTTCAGAGACAGACGAAGAGAAAAAAAGACCCAACATGGAAGAAGAAGGTCAAAGATTTCAGGGAACATCTGAAAGGGAGAAAGGCCTTTATTTATTGGTCTCAGAAGGTTGAACAATCGAAAGCCTGTGGCTTCCTTGATGGAGCCTCTCAATCTCACATTCGCACTTCCTCTCTTCCTGCTGCTTTCCACTTCTGGGGCTACCACTGTGAAACAGTGGTTCAGCCCAAAGGGGTGGGACTAAAAAAGAGAAGGGCTGAGAGTAAGAGGACCTTGAACTAGAAAGAGCAGGAGAGCTACAGGGGTCTGAGCTGCTCTTGCTATTTAGAGGGTCGAGGCGGCTTTGAAGATGCCACACATGGCACTGATCCTTCTGTGTCATGGATACCCAACCCAGTTGAGGAAGATGTCTTGAATTTGTGTCTGAATGTGAATTCAAAGGTATACTTGTGCTTTGCAATTTCACAAGCAACCTCTGTATTGGAGATGTTGCCTAGGCCTCCCGTGCACAAAATGTACCGTTCTGTTGTAGTTTTCATGTTGTCTGTTACAATGGCGCCTCGCTTAACGACGTTAATTCATTCTAAAGAAATCGCTGTAGAATGAAAATGTCGTAAAGCGAAAATAAAAAAACCATGGAAATGCATTAAAACCCAGTTAATGTGTTCCAATGGGCTAAAAACTCACAGTCCAGCAAAGATCCTCAATACAGTGGCCATTTTCAGTACCTGTATAGCGAGGAATCCGTCCCTAAGCACAGGAGGGAGCCATTTTGAGCACCCGGCGGCCAATTTGAAAGCCCGACAATCAACTTGTTTGATCGTCGTAATCCAAAGAATCGGTTCCCGAAGCAGGGAACCGATCTACGCAAAGTGAAAAAAAAAACCATCAAAAACATCATCGTGAAGCAGATTTGTCATAATGTGGGGTAATCGTTAAGCAGGGCACGACTGTATATATTTGTGCATAAGATTCATTTTATGAAATTGTGTTTGCACAGTTTTTCAATAGGAATCAGCAGATAGTAATAGTAGGAGTGGATACGGGACTCCTACTCCAGCCCATGCATACTAGCCCCCACCTTGTTTAATT